GGTATGAAACCCCGGAATATGGATTGTGTGATTGGTTTTGATGTGACTCACATGATAGGTGACAGGCGTCTGGGCGTGCACCGTAGGAATTATGACTTGGTCAAATTCCATGAGACTGTGTAGTTGAATTATCTGTTGATATCCGTACATTCTCTACGTGTTAGGGAAAATGGAGCTCAGACTCGTATTAAAAATCATACATATGCTGTTATTATTGGTACCCATTGGGGTCATTTCTGTGGTTGAATTATATGTTCAAATTATAATTTCACACTCAGTCATGTTTATTCATTTCACATCATATCTCAGTCTCTGTTGCTATTTATTAAAACATCATATTATCAAATTTTGGGCTGATTATCATGATTTATGAGAGCTCGAGAGAATGGAGAGGTTGATGACTGAGTGAGGCCGATGGCCTAATTGTGAGAATATTTATGGATTGGGTTGCATGCCGCAACATATTTTTATTGATTTATGCCATGATTGGCTTAATATAGTGCTTGGGCTGAAGGAGCCCCTCCAGAGTCTGTACACACCCCCAGTAAGCGCAAGTAACTACTGAGTGCGAGTGCTGAGTGCTGAGTACGAGTGCCGAGTGATGACTGACCATGAGGAATGAGCGATTGTGAGGAAAGAGTGACCGTGAGGAAAGAATGACTGTGGGGTTGGAGTGAATGGGAGTACTGAGTGACTGTTACTCTGAGAGAATGCATTGATTTCATTATTTGCTGCATTTCAGCTGTTATATATTACTATTTTTGGAAATTTCGGAAAAACATTATTTTCTGTTTCGGTCAAACTTGATATGAAATTTCAGTGAAATCTTAAATGTTAAACTTGAGAGCATGCCTACTCTTTTATATTGGAAAGTATTGTATTTGAAATTAGCTGAGAAGCTCGTCACTACTTTTAGTTCTTTATTTATTATTGTTACTTACTGAGTTGGTTGTACTCATACTACACCCTGCACTTCGTGTGCAGATCCAGGTGATCCCGGATACAATGGGTGTTGATTCTTGCACACAGTTGATTTTTCGGAGATTCAGATAACTGCTATGTTTTGTAGACCTCGTCTCTCCTTCCATATCCTTTTGTTTATTATATTTTATCTCAGATTATTATAAACTACGTTTTCCAGACTTATAATGTATAGATGCTCATGTACTCAGTGACACTATGATTTTGAGTGTGTGTGTATCGGTATTTGCGATACTTGTGGATTATGTTTAAATATTATATTTTCAAATTTAAAAGAAATTATGGTTTATTGAGGTTGTCAGCTTGCCTAGTATCGATATAGACGCCATCACGATATGTTAGGATTTTTGGTTGTGACAAGTTGGTATCAGAGCCTAGGTTACATAGGTCTCACGAGTCATGAGCAGGTTTAGTAGAGTCTTGCGGATCGGTACAGAGACGTCTGTACTTATTTTCGAGAGGCTGTCTAACCCTTAGAAAAATTTCACTTTCTTGTATTCTGTCGTGCGAATTTGTTGATTCCGTAAACTAAATTTCTGTTATTCTATTCTCTCATAGATGGTGAGAACACATACTACCGGATCAGACGGTCAGCCACCAGTGCCACCAGTTAGGGCCGCGAGAGGCCGGGGCCATGGTAGAGGCCGGGGCTGAGGTCGAGATGTCGCTCATACAGCAGTTGGAGCAGCACCAGCAGTACCACCAGTTGCTCCAGCTCAGGAGCAAATTCCAGATATAGTTGAGCCTACCGGACCAGCTAAGGCACCAGCTATGCCCATTGAGATTTCAGGTCTTCAGGAGACTTTGGCCTAGATATTGATAGTTTGCACTGGCCCTTCTCAAGTGGTTTCGGCTCAGGCCACACCTGCCACTTCTCAGGCCGGGGGAGGTACTCATAACCATGTTGCTCGTATTCCAGATCAGGTAGTACAGGGACCTCAGATACCGGGGGCACTACCAGTCCAGCCAGTTGCAGCTGCTCAAGCCCCGGTAGTCCCCGTTATGGCAGATGATGAGCAGAGGAGACTTGAGAGATTTGGGAGGCTTCAACATCCATCATTTAGCGGTGCTGAGTCAGTGGATGCTCAGGGATTTTTGGATAAGTGCCAGCAGATGCTGCAAACAGCGGATATTTTAGAGACCAGTGGGGTCTCGTTCACTACATTTCAGTTTTCTGGGAATGCCTTCAGATGGTGGGAGGCTTACGAGAGACGCAGCTCGGTTGGTGCAGTACCACTTACATTGCAGGAGTTCTCCGTTCTCTTTTTAGAGAAGTTTGTACAGCAGTCTCGCAAAGAGGAGCTGTGCAGACAGTTTGAGCAGTTGCGTGAGGATGGTATGTTTGTGACGCAGTACGAGATAAGATTTTATGAGTTGGCTCGTCACGCAGTTTGGTTGGTTCCAACTGATAAGAAGAGGATTATGAGGTTCATTGATGGCCTCACATATCATCTACGATTACTTATGACTTAGGAGAGAGTATCTGGTGCTACTTTTGATGAGGTAGTTGACATTGCTCTGCAGATAGAGATGGTCCGTAGCAAAGAGCGTGGAGAGAGGGAGGCTAAGAGGCCTTGTGGTCCAGGTGACTAGGGGTTCGCAAGCAGTGTCTCGCGTTCGCAAAGAAAAACTCGGTAAAGCATCGCGTTCGCGAGCAGTGTCTCGCGTTCGCGAAGAGAAATGTTGGGCAGCACGATTTTGTGCTTCACGAATGCGAGGGACCTGTCGCGTTCGCGAAGAAGAGAGGTCTGGACAGAAAGTTTAAGTTCTGAAAATGGGACTTCGTCCCATTTTCCATTTTTGATGGATTGGAGCTCAGGAAGAGGCGATATTTGAGAGATTTTCAAGAAAAACAACGGGATAAGTGTTCTTAACTCATGTTTGGTCAAATTACCCGAATCCATAGTTGTTTTTAATATTGAATGGGTGAATTAAGTTGGAAAGATTAGAAAACCTTCTTGGTTTAATTTGGATATTTGAGGGTCGAGTTGATGTCGGAATTAAGTAAAATTAGTATGGATAGACTCGTGGTTGAATGAGCTTTCGGATTTTATAACTTTTGTCGGGTTCCGAGACGTGGGTCCCACGGGCGACTTTTGAGCTAAATTTCGGATTTTATTGGAAAATTAGTATTTTCTTATGGAATTAATTCCAATAAATGTTATTGACTGAATCGATTTATTTATGGCTAGATTCGAGGCGTTTGGAGGCCAATTCACGAGTAAAAGACATTGAAGAATAAAGAATTACACGGCTTGAGGTAAGTAACAGTTTTTAATTTGGTCCTAAGGGTATGAAACCCCGGAATATGGATTGTGTGATTGGTTTTGAGGTGACGCACATGCTAGGTGACGGGCGTATGGGCGAGCACCGTAGGAATTGTGACTTGGTCAAATTCTATGGGACTGTGTAGTTGAATTATCTGTTGATATCCGTACATTCTCTACGTGTTAGAGAAAATGGAGCTGAGACTCGTATTAAAAATCATGCTTAGACATATGCTGTTATTATTGGTACCCATTGGGGTCATTTCTGTGGTTGAATTATATGTTCAAATTATAATTTCACACTCAGTCATATTTTTTCATTTCACATCATATCTCAGTCTCTGTTGCTATTTATTAAAATATCATATTATCAAATTTTGGGCTGATTATCATGATTTCTGAGAGCCCGAGAGACTGGAGAGGTTGATGACCGAGTGAGGCCTTGGGCCTAATTGTGAGGATATTTATGGATCGAGCTGCACACCGCAATATGTTTTTATTGATTTATGCCATGATTGGCTTGATATAACGCTTGAGATGAAGGAGCCCCTCCGGAGTCTGTACACACCCCAGTGAGTGCAGGTACCTACTGAGTGCGAGTGTCGAGTGCGAGTGCTAAGTGCCGAGTGATGAGTGACTGTGAGGAAATAGTGACTGTGAGGTTGGAGTGAATGGGAGGACTGAGTGACTGTTACTCTGAGAGAATGCATTGATTTCATTATTTGCTGCATTTCAACTGTTATATATCACTATTTTTGAAAATTTCGGAAAAACATTATTTTCTGTTTCGGTCAAACTTGATATGAAATTTCAGTGAAATCTTAAATGTTGAACTTGAGAGCATGCCTACTCTTTTACATTGGAAAGTACTTTCAGTTTTTTTTTTATTATTGTTACTTACTGAGTTGGTTGTACTCATACTACACCCTGCACTTCGTGTGCAGATCTAGGTGATCCTAGATACAATGAGTGTTGATTCTTGCACACAGTTGATTTTTCGGAGATTCAGAGGTAGCTGCTATATTTCGCAGACCATGTCTCTCCTTCGCTATCCTTTTGTTTATTGTATTTGGTCTCAGATTATTATAGATCACATTTTCCAGACATGTAATGTATAGATGCTCATGTACTCAGTGACACCATAGTTTTGGGTATGTGTGTATCGGTATTTGCAAGACTTGTGAATTGTGTTTAAATATTATATTTTCAAACTTAAAATAAATTGTGGTTTATTGAGGTTGTCGGCTTTCCTAATATCGAGATAGGCGACATCACGACAAGTTAGCATTTTGGGTTGTGACAGCGTATGTCGCTAATCTTGCTTCGGTAATGAGAGTATCTTTACCCTTGTTGCAACGGAATTGTTTTGTCGCTAGGTATTAAAAAAAAGCATCCAAATAACTTTTGCTGCTATTTTTATCTTTGTTAGTCAATAAGACCAAAACATAAGTTCTCCCTCACAAAAGAATACATCGTGAGTAACGAGCCTGTTTCCTTCAACTTCTTCTCCTCTGATCTTCCACTAATCTTCCGAGATGCGCTGCGAAGTCATCTCTTTTCTAAAAGACTGGTAGGTCTCTACTTCTTTCTCTGTTTATTAGCATATTTTCTACAGTAAATTTTTTAGGGTTTTGGTAGATGTAAAATAAATCAAGCATTTCACCTCTTCCCTCTTTTTCTTTGTAGTATGTGAAGTCAAATATGAAGTAGGAGTTGACATATGCTGGGTATGTCTCATTTGTGCATAAATATGTATATTTTTACTACTTACTGTAGCTAAAATATGATTTTGGGGTTTCTTTTGTGTTGAACTCTTGATTAATACCAATTTTGGTGATATTTGGTGATTAAAATTGAAGTTAGGTGTCTTGAGATCTGTGTGAGCGAAGTTAGCCTTCACTCACCAGTTGTTGTCAGTTTGGTGAAACCCACCCAATTCATTCTTGTCCTTTAAGCTAATTTATTTCAAATCCTTTTACTTTTCTACTCAATTATATACCCACCAAGTGTTTGTATCTTTTTATATACCTCTCTGTTGTCATTATTAACTATTAAGTGATAAGAATGTATAGTAACTTCTGTTTTTTAATGAAGTAGCATGTGTGACAGAGAAAATCTGTCCTAAACGATTTTGTATGGTATAGAACATTCTCTAAAGTGTTTGCAAAAGCCCTTCTTAGAGATGATTATGGTTCATCCAGGTGGGTAAACAAGTTACTTAGTAGTTTTTTTTTAAGTGTTAAGTACTTGACTACTTATGTTGTTTTAGCTCAAACAAAATTTGAGTTTCAATTTTGTTGATATTTGGTGTTTAAAATCGAAGTTATGTGTCTTGAGATCTGTGTGGTTCCCAATTTCTTCAAGGTGAAGTGCTGGAAAACTCTACTTAGAGCCATAGATCTATTGAAAATTGAAACTCAAATTTTTCTTGTGCTAAAACTTAATGGGTAATACTATTTGGAGTTTAAAATTTATTTTAATCCATGTTTGAGAGGAGAAGCTTGAATAACTCAATAATCATCATACTGTGTTTGAGAATTTCAATTTTAATTTTTGATTTTTTTTGTGTGAAACAAATGGAGTAACAAAGTGGAGACCCCTGAACACTTAACATAATAACAATCCTTACTAAGGCAGAACACGTAAAATTGACATCAATATACTTCCTGAATGGCTGGTGCAAAAATTGTCCAAAATATGTAACTCCTTTACTATATGATATGTTTGTATTTTATTCATAGATCAAAAGCTGATCATTATGGATATCCATTTTGGTTAGTAGTATTCTAATGGCTTTGACCTGTCAAATTTAGAATGTTCTGAGAATCATCTTTGTCAGAGTTGCTTTAAGTTTTCTCTACTCCCAGAAGCTACTGCATTCTCTTCCAGGAATGCTAAAAATAGTTCAAACAAGGAGTTGATGAAAACAAATATCAACTCTTTAAGTTACTAAAATATAGAGAGATCTTACAATGTCAATGTGTATGTTAGCAACAGTAGCAAATGATCAATTAGCTTTTACTTTATCTTTAGTACTTTCTGCATTTCTGATACTAAAGATACTACTCAATTCTTGTGTTTTGGCATGTCGCTCCAGTTCAATAACTCTATTCTTAAGATCAATCTCTCTACTCAGCTCCTCATCTCTCTGCTTCATTGCCTCTAGTTCCTTTTTTAGAAGTTCCTCCTTTCTAGCTTCAGATTTGGAACTTCTTTGCACCTCAAAGATAACAACAGCTCCAGCCACCTAGAATATCAACAACAGCTTGAACGTCTTTTTCTTCATTTAGAGGGCGAATTGCAACATCAGTTTCATGACAATATATACGTCTTTGCAATTTCTTTGGTTTTCAAGGTTTGCATCCACATCATTGACTATTAGGCTACCCCTTGGATGCAATTTTAAATGTGTCTTAATAAGTATATGAAAGCTAATTAGCTATTTTACTTTGAGCGTGTAGAAGAATACTGCAAACAAGAATTGCTTAACTAAGGTAGCAGTAATAAGGCGCCAATTTTTGAATTAGGTTACTGATTTGTATTTTTATTTTTTTCTATTTCCTTGAAATATGAGTTGTGTAGCTTTTTGCCTCTGTACCTTTGTGGTTCTTCATATTACAAAATAAATCTATGTGGTATTCTTCTTGCATCCGTCTGACTAAATTTATTTTTTCTCAGCTTCATTTCAGGAAAAGGATCGAAACAATGTCGAAGATTTCTGATGAATTAGTTAAGGTATTGGTATCCTTCTATTAACTTATACATAGGTCTTAATTTATTTTGTTTGAAATATACTTTACTCTCTCTCTCTCTCTCTCTCTCTCTCTCTCTCTCTCTCTCTCCCCCCTTCTTTTCTTGTTCTTCTTAGCGCTTTCTTAAAATAAAATGTGAATGTTATTTAGAATTTTAGCTTTTTCACAAATGGTTAATCTTACATATAATCACAACTAGGGATGCGAGATAATTTTTAATTGTCTTAAAATATTCACATAGCTTACATTATCTTTCTGATGTATTTGTGATGTTCTGATGTATTTGAGATTGTTTATATATAGTGATTTCTAGGGATTTATTTGTGATGTTCTGATGTACATTAGCTTTCTGATGTGTTTGCGATCTATTTAATCTTACATTAGCTTCTTGATGTATCTTTGATGTGCTTTTTCTTTAATCATTTAAGGGTTATAAAATAAAAATAACTGTTTGAGTTTTTTTGCTGCCATGTATTTTGGTTTCTTTCCTTCGTGCATTAAAAGGTAGTACTAGGTGTTTGGTAAGGTTAAGTATATCTTTTCTTTACTTTATTCTTGTGTATTACATATCAAAATAATAATAATATATGTTTGTCTTTTTAATTTTAATATTAACTAGGAAAATGGAGAATCTAGAGCATGGTTGGATGTATGAGAGGTTGGATGGACGAGGGGGTATTAATTCTTGTTTCATATCCGGTGTGGATAAATTTCTCCACTTTGCATGTTTTCAACGAAATCGCATGAGTGGTGACAATGTTAGATGTCCTTGTAAAAAATATCACAATATTAAATACATGGATGTTGAAACCGTTAGATTACACCTTTTGCAATTTGGATTTGTTGAGAATTATTTTGCTTGGATATATCAAGGGGAAAGATGTTTAACTAATGAGTTGTCTTCTAGTAGTAACTTGAATAGTGGTGCTCAACCAGAATTTAGATATGAGAATCCATACCGACGGATGATTCTTGATATAGCGGGGCCCAATATTAGCCAGGGTTCAAATTGGCAATCTGATAGTAATGTTGAACATGAGTCATCTCATCCTTATGAACATTCAATGGAGGGGGAGCCTAATCCTGAATCCCAGAAGTTCTATGATTTGCTACAGGCTGCCGATGCAGAATTGTATCATGGTTCTTCTCTCTCTCAACTTGAAGTAGTTTCTAGGACGTTAAACATTAAAATGGAGAATTCTTTGTCACATAGGGGTTATGACCAAATGATGCAACTGTTTAAAGAGGTTTTACCTAAAGATAACATAGTGCTTGATAACTGTTATCAAATTAAGAAACTAGTGCGTAGCTTGGGTTTGCCCATTGAAAAGATTGATTGTTGTAATTCAGGATGCTGCATGTTGTATTGGGGTGAGGACGAAAACCTCACATCTTATAAATTTTGTGGCTACGAGAGATATAAGCGTCGGGTCGGCTCTCGTAAGAGGAAATTGGTGCCTTACAAGAAAATGTATTACTTTCCTTTGATTCCTAGATTGCGTAGATTATATGCATCCCATGCTACAATAACTGACATGAGATGGCATCATGAGCATTTACAAGACGAGAGGGTAATGAGTCATCCATCAGACTCTGTGGCTTGGAAGCACTTTAATGAAACTCATTCTTTTTTTGCTGATGAACCAAGAAATGTGAGGTTGGGGTTATGTACTGATGGTTTCCAACCATTTGGTCAATCTGGGAGGAAATATTCTTCGTGGCCTGTGATTGTCACTCCATACAATTTACCTCCGTGTATGTGTATGAATTTGGCATATATATTTTTAACTGTCATTGTTCCTGAACCAACCAATCCTAAGCGAAAAATTGATGTTTATCTACAACCTCAAAGAACTAATATTGTTGTGGGAGGAGGGTGTAGAAGCATTTGACATCTCGAAAAAGCAAAATTTTCAATTAAGAGCAGCTTTGATGCTGACAATCAGTGACTTTCCAGCATATTCTATGTTATTATGATGGAGTACTGTGGGGAAGTTAGCATGTCCTTACTCTATGGAGGAAGCACAATCTTTTAGATTACATCATGGTGGGAAAATATCTTGGTTTAACAGTCATAGAGTGTTTCTTAACCAAAATCATGCATTAAGGAAAGATCATAAAAACTTTCTTAAAGGTCAGACCGTCAAAAGGCGACCACCAACCTTTAGAATGGGAGAGGAAATTTTGAACCAAATTAGTGAATTGGCGATAAGGAAAGTGACAGAGATGGATGCAGAAGAAGTTAATCGGAGAATATGTAAATCTTGTGGATGGAAAAAAAGTATCTTTTGGGATTTGCCTTATTGGAGTTCCAACTTGATTCGACATAATCTTGACGTCATGCATATTGAAAAGAATGTCTTTGATAATGTTTTTAACACAGTTCTTAATGTTAAAGACAATCCAAAAGCACGTCTAAATATGGTAGAATACTGTGATCGACCTCAGTTGGCAAAGAATGCAAGTGGAAGCTATCCCAAAGCTGCATATACAATAGACAAGGCAGCAACATATATCTTGTTTGATTGGGTGAAAGGTTTGATGTTTCCAGATGGGTATGTTTCAAATTTGAGTCGATGTCTATACACTACCAAGTATAGGTTATTTGGCATGAAAAGTCATGATTGCCATGTGTTTATGCAACGATTAATGTCTATTGCCTTTCATGAGCTACTTCCTAATAATGTGTGGCAAGCAGTTACAGAATTAAGCTTATTTTTTAAAGATCTTTCTTCGATCACTCTACGAGTTGCTGAAATGGAGAGATTAGAGGTAGACATCCCACAAATCTTGTGTAAGTTAGAACGTATATTTCCCCCTGGGTTCTTTAACTCAATGGAACATTTACCAGTGCACCTTCCATATGAAGCAGGGATTGTTGGACCTGTACAATACCGATGGATGTATCCTTTCGAGAGGTAAATATAAAAATTCTATGTCCTAATTATAAAATTATGCTACGCATGACTTTTCTAATTTAATGGTCCATCCATTTATCCATTTAGGTACCTTAGAACTCTTAAAAAATGATTGGGAATAAAGCCAGTGTCGAAGGTTCCATTTGTGAAGCATACTTGATGACAGAGTCAACACAATTATTTTCTCATTATTTTTAACCTCATATCATGACACATAATCATAGTGCGGCCCGTAATGATGATGGTGGTGTTATGAAAGATGTTGAAGGAAATTTATCAATATTCACCCATCGAGGTCGACTATGGGGAGAAGCAAAAAAGAGAAATTTATCCCTTGACGAAATTAAGGCTGCCCAAACTTATATTCTACTAAATTGTAAAGAAGTTGAGCCATTTGTGAGGTAACATTTGAAAATTATACTTTCTTAATATGATAAACGCATCCATATATCGCGAATTCCTATTTTAACTTATTTTATTGCAATGAAGTATGTACGTGGAACGTTTGCAAGAAGAACTCCCGAATCTATCTCAAGATCAAATAGATGAAAGCCTCCGAACATATTTCGCTGAATGGTTCAAGGGATATGTAAGCCTCCAACAATCATTTTCTTTTATAAAATAATTTACTCAAGTTAACTTGTGAAATTTAATTAAGTCTTACAATTTTTCTTAAATAGGTTCATTGCAATCATAGTGAGAATGAATTCTTGCGGAGTCTTGCTCATGGACCATTAATAAGTGCGAAATACCATTCAATGTATTTTGTTAATGGATACAAATTTCACACTGATTGTCATGGTAGTGCAAGATCAACAATGAATAGTGGAGTTTGTATCACAGATCTAAATGTTGGTGACTACTATGGAAAGATACAAGATATTATACAAGTGGAATACCGTGAAGAACCTTTAAAGTAAACTGTGTTATTCAAATGTGAATGGTTTGACCCAACTATTATTGTTGGTGTTAAAAAGTATAATGAGTACAAATTGGTCGATGTTAACCATCGTCGTCGATTTAAGAAATATGAACCTTTTATTCTTGCGATGCAAGCAACTCAAGGGTGTTATGTGTCTTATCCTAGCAAGAAAAAGGACAAGGATGATTGGTTATCTGTATTAAAAGTCAAACCTCAGAATATTATACAATTACCCGATGAGGAGGCGCCAACAATTTCAGAACTGAACCTCCCGTTCCAAGTTGATGAAGTTGAAGTCCATGATAGAAATATGAATATTGTCGTTGACGAAAGTATACTCTTGCATGATCCAAATGGGGAATTAATTGAAATGGATGAACCGTTTGATGATGGATTATTACCGGAGCATCATGAAACTGAAGAAGAGTATGAAACTGAAGAAACTGAGGAGGATGAGGAAGAGTTTGAAGAAGAAATAGATAGTGACTAGTGTGTTAACAAAATTATGCAACTATATCTCTTTGTATTTTATTTGTAGTAATCTGTGTTGTATGCTATAACTTATGTGCAAGAATATATGTATATTTTTTGGTTGTCTTTAATGTCCAAGTTTCTCATTCATTTTTTTAAATCATTGCTTATTATAAAACTGAAAGTCTAAAATAATTCTATGATTTTGCACGAATTACTTAACTGTCTATTCTTTTTTGGCAGGGTGATAATTCCAGTCTAGTGCATTAGCTCGACTTTCACCTATTGGCATCATTCTAAACTTCTACCAATCTTTTTACGTTTTTGCTCTCCAACCACAAGTATAAAAGTCACTTTATAAGTTGTGTGTTTCTATAAGATTTTTATTATATAGAGTAATTTTCTATAAGTCATTGTAACCGAATTTTAGAGTACAAATATTAGAGAGAAGAAAATGAAAAACTTCAGTTTGATTTTTAGTTTCTTTGAAAAAAGTATTTTGATGCAGATTACAAATTACCTTGAAATGAGATCATGTTTATACTTACAAATGAAATCATGTTTATTATTTTTGAATTGAATTGAAACTTACAAATTACCTTTTTGTTTTTTCTGTATGCACTATAACAGACACCATGTACTGCTTGCTACTTTTTCAATTTGTTTATGACTATTTTTTTGACAGATATGACTCGAGGCAGAGGTCGAGGTAGTGCAGGTCGTATAAGCAAATCCTCTGTTATGGGTAATTCAGCTACTCATAGGAACATTCCTACTATTCCCATTCCAAAAATTAGTCATCAACAAGGTGGTACGAGTTTCTCAAGTGGGCCAAGTCATATTAACCAAGTTCAAACATTAGGTCCTAGTAGTACACCTCCAATTCAAACATCAGGTAATAGTAGTACCCCACCTGTCTATGTTGAACCATATCCGATGACACCTAATCAGAGCAACACAGTAGATGAGGGTATATCACAGAATAATGCAATAGGTGAGGGTATATCTACTCAAAGTAATGCAATAGGCGAAGGTGATGCAACAGTAGTTTTGGCCAGCGGACTCTTGTTTTTCTTTCTTCTACAGGGTTAGTCCATGCTTCTACTGTTTTTTTATATACTGTTATTGATTTATGATAAGCCTTCAAGTAATGTCTTCAAATTGTCCAGGTTAGAACCTTCTAGATTATGCTCTGAGTATATATATGAAAATTTCAAGCATAAACTTCATCCAAATGGAATCAATTGGAAAGGTGTCCCAAAAGAGATAAAAGAATTTTACTTTGGAGAATTCAAGGTATGACATTCCATCAAATTGATTTTACATAGTGTATTAACCTTTATAAGTAGTATGCTAATGTTACTACTTTACATAATTATTTCAGAAGGCAATCTATTGGGATTCTTTGATTGATAGGGAAGTGAAGCGCCTATGGGAAAGTAAGGCAGTGAGAAGGTACTGTGATTTTATGTGCAAAATAAAAAAAGATAAGGATATAGTTCAACCGGATTTTGTTCCAAAAAATGTGTGGGACAATTGGATGAAACTATGGGAGGATCCTAAGTGTGTCAAAAAATCAGAAATAAATACAAAAAATCATTGTGGCGGTGGGATCGCCGTCGCCATTGGGACTCACATGGGCGGCTCTATCACTATTGGGGAACATCGCAATAGACTTGCAAGTATATTCTTTGTAAGGGGTAATCACTAGAATTCAGTACACATAATCCAGCTTCTTAATAGGTTGATCCCCTGTTGTTCTTGTGGTTTGAGCAGTGTTTCAACTTGGTGTTATTTTTGGCAGTTTCCATTAGTTGACATCTCTATAATAGGTGGTTGCATTAAAAGGAAAGCAACTTAGGAGTGTCTTCTTCATTATTTCACATGAGCTAATTAGTGTTGTACACAAAACAGGAGTTCTTGAACTAGTTCTTCATGATCATTGCCCTAATTGATAAGGATTCAAATGGTGTGCTTTCTTTGTATCGCATAGGTCTGTTTTTCACATGACCTCAGGAATTCATATAAAGAAAGACTAGCTGAAAAAAGCATTTGTCGCAATGCTAAATTGCACATGATTTTTCAAAAATGCACTTCTCAGTGCTTACCTTTCACCTTTGTGCCAGTCTTGTCTGCTTTCTTATTGTTAGGGGAAGACTCCCACATAAACATTAACTGAGTGGTTATTCGAAGGATGGATTAAAATGATTGTGTCAGAGGCAGCTTCTCTTAGTTTCTTCAATTCGGTAAATATATTGGGGGTTGTATGGGCATCATGGTAAGACTAAATCAATTGATAACTTCTATTAGCATGAAGAGCTTACCAGCTTATTACAGTTTGACATCACTTTTTATTTCATCTATCTGGAATCTATTGATCAAATGCATTTTATCTGCTTTGGTGGATCTGAATCCAAAGATTGAGTTAGTTCTAGCAATATAATCTACTTGATCCTATAATAGATTCAGCTATATGAGAAACCACAGCCTATGGAATGTCATTTTAGGTTTTTCCCCTTGCTCTCATAACTTGGTCCTGGGAGCTAGGACTAAGATTCAATCAGAGGTGCTGCTAATTTGGAGATTTCTTGTTATGCACGTATTTTGAGTTGTTATTTCGAGTATTTGGATTTCCTGGATCTGCTAGGAAGTATGTAATCTGAAAATTGTTGTTGGGGCTATTCTTCTTATTCTTGTACTGTTATATACCTTCTTTGTACCTCAAGATCCAACACCAATTGAGCTATATTTGCACGTCCATATACATGGTCATGATAAAAAATCTTTTGTTAGTGAGCGATCCCGACTTGTACATGTAAGTCCAAAATCTTATAATTTTACTGACTTTATATATGACATTCACGTCCCACTTGAACTACTTGTTTAGCACCTATTTCAGTCCTAAAGATGATTTTTGCTAACTTTTGTTTGAATGAAGAACTTAACAGTTAACTTATTTATGCTTTTATCGTTTCTTTTCCCCTAATGTTCATCTTTATCCTGTTAAATTTTTATCCTCGTCCCTTCATATTTTCTTTCAGGTACTTTCAAAGAAGAAAAACAAGTTATCATTAATGAATTTCACTAATTATTATGGTATTTACAGGAAAAATATCAGCAAATATTACAGCAACAAACACAAACTCAATCCGATATTGATCAATCTTTAGCATTTTATCAAGCCGTGGGAGGGGAAAAGAAGAGAAAAATATATGGTCTTGGATCTCAAGCAAAATATTTCTATGGGCCGAATCTTTGTGCCTCTTCTGGATCTGATGCTTCATCATCAGCAGCACCTCCGAATGCTCAGTCAGCACCGATGGCGAATTTGGATGAGTTAGTGATGCGATTAATTCCTGCATTGACTGATCATGTGGTTCCTGTACTGACTGATCACATGCTTCCTGTGTTGGTTGAGCGAGTAAGAAGATTGATAGCTTCACCATCACAAGTGCAAGATAATCATACCGATCACCCATCAGCTGTGGCACCTCCAGTTCCTCATCATACTACTAATACTAACGAGGTTCATGCATCTCTTTCTGATGATGACCTCCACTCTCCAGTCTCTCAGTAGTTAACTATTTTTATTTAAACTTTATTTTAGTATTGTAGTTGTTTTGGAATTAACGAGGTTCATGCATCGCTTTCTGATGATGACCTTCAATCTCTAATCTTCCAGCAATTAACTATTTTTGTTTGAACTTTATTTTAGTATTGTAAATGTTTTAAACTTAATTATACATTTGCATTTTGGTATCTATTTTGGATCTTGTAGAATATTAATTTTTATGAATTTTAGTTATTATTAAGAGTATCTTATATATATGCTTGAACAATATGTATTTTATTAAATAAAATAAGAAAAATATAATTTGCGATGAATTTTCTTCGTAGCTATAACTAATATAGAATAATAGGTTGCGACAGATTTGCGACAAAAGAATTTCGTCTCCAAAAGAAAGGTAAATATGTCTCAATAATATTAGCGACGGATTAGCGGCAGAAAATATTCGTCGCCAATTAAATTCGATGACGAAATGACTTGTCGATTTGGCGACAAAATTGATGATAATTTCGACGGATATGTGTTGTCGCTAAGAGTAGAGACAGATACGAACCATAGCTAATTCGTCGCTAACTTACCAACAAAAATATACAATTTAGCTACGGAATTCGTCCGTCGCTAAAGCCGATTTTTTTTTTTGTAGTGTATGTAGCTATGGGGGGAGGGGAATTGGACACTCATTGTAAAAAATAACACATTGACATTATCTGAAGATTCTTGCTTTGTCATACACATAGAAAATACACCTTTTCTTAAGATCTTTATCTATCTTTTCCCCCACGATCCAAGGACAATTCGAATATTCAAAGGCGTATCATCATTTACCTTGGTCAGAAAAATATCAAAGAATCTCACCCTTTTCGGGTCACATGCGTTTATTTACATAAATATCATTTATTGCTATTTACTGTTATTTAACGTTACCTCCTTTATTTTTGGATCATTGAATACAATATTATTGTCGTCATTTATTGCTACTCAAATAGTATCCGTGATATCTCGCTACAAAATGAGTTAATCTTTCTTTTGGATATTAGTATTGGCAATGTTTAACTATACTTTATTAAGAAAACCTGATTGTTTAAACCTAGATCTAAATTTTGGGTCAAACAGTTTGGCGCCGTCTGTGAAGATTTTCTCAGCCAATTTTTTAGTTTCCATTAGATCCACAACTCACGTGACCTGTTAACCTAACAAACCACCAAGTTTATCTCTTCTCTCTGTGCGGATACAAGTCTTCATGGCAGGTAGCCGAAGAAACAAGTCCAAGGTGGAATATAATGTTCCCCTAAATCTAATGAATGCTATCAATTAAGGCTATGACGCCCATGATGAGATGATAACGCCCACAGCCTCTCCCAAACGAGAAAAGTCACCTCCACCTTTTGCAGCACAACAAAACCAAACGGGAAAGGACCTCCACGTCTAGAGGAGATGAAGCGCCACCCGCTATGAAAAAGCTTCTCGAAGCATGGCTAAATGACACTCTAGTCAGCGTTCTCCATTAACAAGCTCCATGCACGACCAAAGAAACCACGGAAGTCCCCGCAGCACAACGCGGGAACGAACAGGACAACCAAGTAGACCCTCCGACATCAGGTAAGTCTTACAATGTTACTGACAATGCAGGTGACAATATCCTCGCCGTCGCGCTAAAAAGAATGGAGGAAATGGAAAACGAGAGCAAGGTGCTCAGAGACCAAATGAAAGAGAACCAGGAACAGGTAGACAAAATACCTGCGCCCCCAAATTGCTGTCAAAAAAGGATGCTGGTAGGTTCATAGAACAGCCGTAGAGCGAGGAAGCATCTCCACATGCCATACCAAAGACTTCAAGATGCCCTCATACCTCTGAATCTACGATGGGACGACCGACCCCGAAGATCATGTAACTCACTACGTTACCGATGTGAAAGGAAATGAGCTCACCAATGAGCAGGTGTTCTCCATCTTGCTGGAAAACATTTGGTGAAACTCTCACTAGAGGGGAGTTGACATGGTATTCACAGTTACCAGCCCGTTCCATAGAAACATTAGAAGAGATGGCCAACAAGTTCGTGACGGCACATGCCGGGGCTAAGAAAGCTGAAATGAGAGTAAACGACATCTTTGCCATTAAGCAATCCCCAGGAGAAGGACTGAGAGACTTCCTCGCCCGGATCAACAAGGTGAGGATGACCTTACCAAATGTTTTCGAAGGGATGGTCATCGCAACCTTTTAGAATAAGTTGAGTAGATAGGGTTCGGGGGCGACCAGAAAGCTATTGAGTTGGTTAATGAAGTATCCACCGGCCACTTGGGATGAAATCCATACTGCCTACTATGCTGAGGTCAGAGCAGACGGCGACGACCTCAATGGACCAACTCGACAACTCACCTCGGTACAATCCAAGCCTAGGAAAGAAAGCAAGGATAATACGAGGAGAGACCACCTAGTATCGCGACCAGGCATGGAGTGACACCATTCCTATGTCAGGACACTTGTTCCCTCCTTTCGTTATGAAGATGGACCGTCAAGGCCGAGATCAGGAACTCACAAGAATGATAGAGGTATGCCCCTTTGTTATCTTCTCACAATTTCTGTGTTTTGCCTACAGAGATGGTCTACGCTCTTGAGAAGCTCGGAACGAAGGTAAAATAGCCACCATAGATTAGGTCTGACCCAAGCACCAGGAAATCTGACGCCCTCTGCGTGTTCCACCAAGAACATAAACACAAAATAGAAGACTGCATTGCCCTAAGACTAGAGGTAGTGAACTTGCTCCACCAAGGGCACCTCAAAGAATTGCTCAGCAACGAAGGCAGACACACCTTAGCAAGAGGTCGATAACGTCCAGGCCCGTCAAAGCCCCCTTCACCAACAAGTACCATCAATATAATTATTGGTGTCAGCGACGATGCTTCTATCAACGGCATCAAATTCACCACCACCCACAAGCTTAAAAGATCGATCAGCCACAAACAGTATGACATACTCGAATAAACTATCATCTTCGATGAGTCAGATACCGACGATTTGACTTTCCCTTATAACGATGCACTTGTCATTACTTTACAAATTTCAGATACTGATGTTAAGAGAATTATGGTAGATGACGGAAGTGGAGCGTGCATCATCCATCCCCGAGTCCTCGCACAAATAAGACTCGAGGATAAGATAGTGCCACGTTTCATCACACCAACCGGTTTTAATAATGCAGTTGAACGGACTTCAGGAGAAATTACACTCCCCATTCTTGCCGATGGAGTAACTCTAGAGACAACATTCCATATCATGGAGCAAGACACCGCATATAACGCCATCGTGGGACAACCATGGATACACCCCATGAGAGTCGTCCCCTCCAGCTTATACCAAGTGATCAAATTCCCAACAGGTTGAGGAATATTCAACATACGAGGGGAACAACGTACACCCTGGGAGTGCTATCAAATTGTCATGGACAACATGACAAATCAACAAAAGAAAGATAAGAAAAAAGAAGCATAGCAATCGGCAGGGTCGAGGTCGCCACAAGGCGAAGCCAAGGAAGTCATTATGGACCCTGAGATGGTCGAAGCCGCATTATCAACCATAGAAGACCTCGACCCTGTCCAACTAGATCATAGCAACCTCAATAGAAAGGCCTACATCGGCTACAAACTCCGAGAACCAGGTAAATTTAGTCAATTCTTAATAACTAACGTAGATTTGTTTGCCTTTATTCATGTAGATATACCAAGCATCCCCAAAAAGATCACCACACGAAAACTGAATGTCGACCCCTTTTACCCCCGGTAAGGCAGGTCCAACGAAAGTTCAACCCCACCATCAATGAGGTCGTCCACAAAGAAGTAGAGAAGTTTTTGGCGAACGGCTCCATCAGGGCGGCGAAGTACCCCAAATGGATTTCCAATGTAGCGATGGTCAAAAAGAGAAATGGGAAATGGAGGACGTGCGTGGACTTCACAAACCTAAACAAAGTATGCCCAAAAATTCATTCCCACTGCCACACATCGACCAACTCATTGACGCAACGGCAGGGCACGAGCTGTTAAGTTTTCTGGATGCCTACTCAGGTTACAACTAAATACTCATGGAGGAAGAAGTCCAAGAGAAAACTATGTTCATCGCCCACAAGGGAACATATTGTTATAGGGTCATGCCATTTGGGTTGAAGATCACAGGGACTACTTATCAAAGGCTGGTCACAAAAATGTTGAAAGATCAACTCGGCAAAACCATGGAGGTATATGTCGACGACATGTTGGTCAAGTCTGTGAAGGAAGAGGATCATATCAACCACATAAATGAAGCTTTCGATATACTAAGGAATAACTGAATGAAACTAAACCCCGAGAAATGCGCGTTTGGCGTAGCCTCGGGAAATTGTTTGGGCTTATTGGTATCACAACGAGGGATTTAGGTCAACCCAGATCAAATTAAGGTTATCGACGAGATACCAGAGTAATTGACTACTAAGAAGCAAGTCCAGAGATTGACCGGTCAAATTGCCGCCCTATCCAGATTCATCTCGTGGTTGTCTGATAGATGTCATAGGTTTTTCAGCGTACTCAAAAAGGATAACGACCTCGAGTAGACGCCCGAGTGCGTACAAGCACTGCAAGAACTGAAGGCGTACTTGTCATCACCACCCTTACTCTCAAAGCCCGAGCGCGGGGAGCACCTCCTTGTTTATCTCGTCGTCTCGAAAGTGGCGGTAAGTACGGTCTTGGCCCGATAAGACAAAGGTACGCAACCTCTAATTTATTATATCAGTAAAACACTTATCTACACCGAGACGATGTACCCTCACCTCGAGAAACTAGCCTTGGCCCTGGTCGTAGCTTCACTAAAGCTTAGACCCTATTTTCAGTGTCACCCTATCTCGATCGTCACCACTTTTCCTTTAAGAAGCATTTCACAAAACCCGAGCTATCGGGGAGGCTGGCCAATTGGGCCATCGAGTTAAGTGAGTACGACATCACTTATCAGCCTCGCACAGTAATAAAATTGCAATTGTTCGTCGACTTCATCGCAGAGTTTAGCGCAAAAGTAATGCCTGAGCCCGAGAAAGAAGCCTTTGAAGCTTCTCTTCAAACACAGGACCTCTAGGTCCTATACACCAATGGCACATTCAATGCTTTTGGGTCTGGACTGGGACTCATGCTCGAGGTTCCCACCGGTGAAATAATACGCCAATCCATAAGGTGCCC